CAAAACTCTACCTTCTGGTGAAGGTTGTAGCTCAGCTTCAGAGTTTCGGAGGTTATGGAAAAATGTTTGCAAAATCAAAGTGTATAGGAAGATTCAATTTTTTAATGTGGCAATGTCTCCATGAAATGGCTCCAATTAATCAATCAGCAGCTTAAAGAATCTATTGATCACATTCTCTGCACTAGTCATTTTGCTAGCATAGTGTGGAAGCTTAGTCCATTTAGACTTGATTTTAGGGGGCAGAGACCTACCAGTTGGCAGAAGAGATGGTATGATTTGAATGAAATTTAGAAGTACTTTAGTGGTTATTCTGTCAAATGTGTTAATATTGTTTCCTTCATATGCTGGACAATTTGGAAATGTAGGAATGATTTTGTTTTTCACAACAACATATGGGATCCTCGTGAAACCAGTCCAGAAAGTCCTCAAGGGTTATCATGAATTCTGCATGTGAGGTAAACAGACAAGAAAGTTTAAGTGGTATTTGTATATTGAAATTCTTATATATATATATTCGAATTTAAAGTGTTCATTATTCAGTGATAAGTGAAATTTGTAGGGATTCTTTGTTACAAGTTAATAATACAAGTAACATGAGTGATATCTAAATACAGAATGTGATGGAAAATGAATAATAGTCTTCATAGTGAGTTTTTTTTTCCCTTTCTAGGCTTCATGCATGGAGATCCTTATTTATAGTCTCAGCTAGTTGCATTGATCTCGAAGGCCAATATCGAGGATTGGGTCCCACCCTGCTAGAGTAGCCATCATGACCCTAGTAGTTTGATAGGGTCATTATAGTCTTTTAGCTCGAGAAAGAGGTCTGTTGCATTAAGCGTCCATCCTTTCGAAAGCTGGGAGCATTAAATGCGATTATAAGTGTTACAGTATAGGCACGTAATTTTATCATTTTCTTGACTAGGTCTATAGGCTAGGTGGACTCTAACCCATCATCCTTCGGCTCGAGCATGACGTTAGCTTGTGGGTTATGCTCGAGTGGGTTGCCACGTGGACTCGTGGGATAAATGCTTACAAAATCAATGTCACTTAAAATTTTAACTCATTTTAAGTCACGCTTATATTTTTTAACTATTATTGGAATTGGGTTATCAAACACAATTAATCTTGAGGGTGTGGTCTTTAACGAACCATTTGGATCACGTTATCTAAATTATATCTGTACTCATGTTGTTGCTGAGGGTTTTGTTGTGGGAGAATTTTTGAAGTTTTGAGATATTGGGGGATATGATAACGTTGTCGGAAATTGCCAACCTGCCATGAATTTGAAGCCTACTACTGAAGAAGCTCTCATAGACTTTAATGCCCTTTATGCAGGAATGTAAATTAAGGTTACTCACTTGACTGGATTTCGTACAGGAAATACAGCAGCTCATGGTTTTTTTTTTTTTTTTTTTTTAAGTTCAAAACAATTTTTAAATTATTTAAACCTAGCCAAACTCAAACAGTTAACGCAACTACACAAGAGTATGATTTGTGGTACTATGCCCCAAAGCGAATATGAGAGGGGCTGGTGGGAACCATCACTGTACTATGACCCAAACTATTGTTTATCTCTCTGACTAAAACTAATTATCTTCTCAAAAAAAGGCTAATGGTTCGAGAAAAAAAAAACAGAAAAGAAAGGAACCAAAAAAAAAAAAAAGCTAATGGCGACAATTGCAAAAAGAAAAAAGAGAAAGGAAAAAAAAAAAAAAAAGGGAGAGAGAGAGAGAGAGAGAGGGAGAGGAAGGAAGGGAAAAATTCATTTAGGTAAGGTTGGTTGTTTATACATGTATGTATACACACATATGAATTGAGGGAGGCAAGAAATGCTATAAAAAAAGGCTTAAACTAATAAATTTGTCTTAAAAAGGTTAGTCGTGTCTTTAAAAATATTATGTTTTTAATATTATTTGAAAATAAGAAGCACGTATTTAACGTTAGAGTAAGCTTAAGCACTGCCCTTGGCACTTCTCGATTATGTTAGCTCATAAAAGTGTACGTGTGTTAAAGAAAACATATTCTTTACGAATTTAGAAGTCAAAAGCGGTCCATAAAAAGATAATATTTCAACTAATTATATCTTACATTTTTTAAACAAATAAATTATATCACTACAGGTCAACATTTAATTAATATTATGTCATCAATATTTTAGGATCATTAAAGTATTTTTTTCGTCCAAAATTAATGTTCAAAACAATACTTTCTAAGCCATTTTGGCATGAGAGAAGATAAAAGAATCATCATTTTTATTATCATATCATCATTCTTGCATTAATTATATATAAATAGGGCCAGTCACAATCACAAAAAATTATTTTTTATTATTTTCTATTACATTTTATCTATTCTCTAGTATTTAACTTATAAAAATTATTTATAATATTTAAGTCTTTACAAATACTTATAGTAAAGTCTGTATTTTAAGTTCTCCCAACATATATGCTGACTACAAATACTTACAGTAAATTATCTTCTAGTCTTTTTATGTGTGTAATTTAACAGTAAATTTAAAACACCACTTGAGATAGTTCTTATAAATTTTTTGCTAAAAATATTCATAAGAAATTTTTTTCGTAACTTTCTAATGATCGGTGAAGATTTTTTACAAGTCGCCCTATTATATAATCAATATTTGGGAAACATTAAAGTGTTCAAAGGAGAGTACATTGCCATTGTGGCATGGATTGAGACAGAATGGTAAACCTAAACAGCCAAAAATTGGGCCATTAATTAAAATATAATTTTACCTACATGTGGAAAAACATTACTATATATTAAAAGGTCTTTATAACAAGGACAAAAAGGATTAGTGATATTTTAAGTTATAACCATCATTTCGACTCTCTTGTAGTAATCTGTTGGTAGTCACTTGTCATGGAGTTCAAGCTTGTCACTTTTTTCCTAAAATTGATCACTTATGTATTTAATTGAAAAAATCATCTAAAATATCTTCCAATTTCCGTACCACATGGTTGGTGTGTGTTACTAAAAGTCTAAAAGTGATATGCATCTACCTGCCAAAATAATCTGTGCGGGGGCAATTTAGTCCTCACACTTCTCTAATCCAAACTGAAATCAATCATGTTATTATCATGATTATAAACCTATGATAACTTTATTTTATTTCTTTAACATTGTTAAGTCGAATAAAAAAACATATGTTCCACGTTGTTTCTGTTACTAGCAAGATTGATTCAAAATTATACAATGATTTACAATTTTAGGAAAATAAAATAAAATTCAATGATTTACTTACATGAATAGGTGGCAGAAAAGGAAAAGAAATATATATTTATGAACCTTGTAAGAGTTTGAATGGAAGGAAAAGTAAAATGTTGAGAAAAATAACACTTTATAGACACCTAATTTTTTCATAATTTTCTTTTAGAAAATATTTGCAAATTTACTTTCTACAAATTTTGATGTGAACTTACGATTTTGCCTCTTTTACATATTTCTAAAAATAAAATATATCAATAATGATGGAAGGTAATATTCACACTTCACTCTTCTCCAATTGCACTCTATTTACCTTTTTTCTTTTAAAGGAAATAATAAGAAGGTCTTTGAATTTATTAATGCGCCATCCTTAATTTCTAATGTCATTGGTACCCTTTATACAACTTTAACATTTTTGTACCTTCTTTACTTTCTTTATTATTATTTTTTCCTTTCTTTTTGTTTTTTCTGAAAATTCTCTCATAGAAAATAATTTATTTCATACAAATAATTTTATTTTTGGTAGTTAAAAGATATAATTTATTTCATAGTGACTTTTTTTTTTTTTTTTTTGTACAATTAAAAGAGATATTTATTTAACAAAGTTATTTTTTTTTTCATTCCAATAAAAAAAAAGGTAACTTTTTTTTTTTTATAATTTTTTTATGGGTACTATCAAAATAAATAATTTATTCAATAAAAATATATATATATTTTTAAGTCTTATCAAAAGAGATAATTTTTTCAATAGAGATAAATATATTTTTTTAATCCTCTTCTTTTCATACCCATTTTTTTTTTATCTTGACAAAAGAAATAATATCTTCAGTAAATATATTTTGGGTGGAGGGGGGTTTCATGTCGAAAGGGATAATTTTTAATGGTTACTTTTTATTTTTTTATACGGTAAAAAGAGGCAATTTATTCAGCATAATATATATATATATATATTTTTTTGTCTCGTCAAAAGAGACCTGATATGTTAAAAATTTTAGATAAGAAGAGGAAATCTAAAATGACAGTTGTGTTATTTAAAAAGTAATAATTATTTACTTGTAAAGTTAGGGTTAGAATTACCATTTCATTTAAGATTGTAGTGCAACCGTTGAAAAGTGGAGTGCTAATATCGCCTCCCACAATGATACTCTCTTTAACAAGTAATGTCCTTTTTGGAGAGGAGAAGTTTAAAAAAAATATGCAATTTATCCCTTTTTAATTATCATATTATCCTTTTAAGTGTGAATACATATATGATCACATTTGAATTTTTTTAAAACTTTAAAGGTGTTAATGGAATAATGTAAAATATTTTATTTTAATTTTAATAAGTGGACAAGTATTTTGGGACTATTAAATTGAGTTATTATTAACTATATCTCTCCCATGCCTACAAAACTATTTATTTATATTTTTATATTGCTTTTATTTTATCCAATATAAATTTATTTAGACCTTATATTCTATTTCATAAAAATAATGACATTTTAAGTAAATTATTATTATTATATATAATTTTAATTTTTCATACTATTTAAACAATAAAATAGTAATTTCTCATTATTTTTCTAAAACTTTTTCATACAAACCAAATACATATTAATAAATTAATTTATATTTCCCCCACTTCCCTTTCTTTCTTTCTCTCCTTCCCTTTCTTTTACTTTCAATATTTTAATATATTGATTTGATGCATGTTACTTTGCCCCTACTTTTGGAGTCTAGGTTTGGCACAAGTGGAGTAGCCCACTCGATCATTACCCATACCATCCCCAATATACAAACCACTCCTGTGTTTTACGCTGTCTTTCCTCATTTGCTACCCTTCTTCTCTCTGTAGACTCTTTCTCTCTCTACTCTTCTGCCTTCCCTTCCCTTACCTTACCTTCCCTTCCCCTATTCTCCTTACAGTGAAGAAACGAGGTTTTCCCATGGCCATTATCTAGCCCTTTCGATATAACCACTCCCATTCTCTCTCCACTCATATAATTTATACATATACATATATATATATAGAGAGACACACACACAAGCATATATCTATACAACGTTCACAGCTCGTTTATGGTGGTTTTGATGGTAATCATCGACAATTTTCCGATGCAATCCACTTTTGATCTCAGCCGTTCGATGTGATGACATTTATAATCAGTGAATGGCGAGAACTCTTTCCTCTATTGTTCATTTCTTCATTTTCACAACCTTCGTTACGAGCCCTAGTTTAATTCGTCTTGGTTCCGCTTCACACGATGACTTCTCGACAATCGGCTTCGATTCCGACCTCTTCTACCATGATTATTCCCCGCCGGCGCCGCCTCCGCCTCCGCCGCGGCCACCGTCGGTGTCGTGCGAGGACGATCTCGGAGGGATTGGGTCTGTGGACACTACGTGCCAAATAGTGTCCAATTTGAACCTCACGAAGTCTGTGTATATACATGGGAAGGGCAATTTTTACATCCTTCCAAATGTAAGTGTGAATTGTTTGGTTTATGGGTGTGAGATTTCTATAAACGTTACTGGTAATTTTAGTTTGGGTGAGAATGCTCTGGTTTTGACGGGAACATTCGACCTAGCAGCACACAATGCAAGTTTTTCTAATGGGTCTTTGGTGAATACTACGGGATTGGCTGGTGCGCCTCCATCACAAACTAGTGGGACGCCGCAAGGGATCGATGGGGCGGGTGGGGGACATGGTGGAAGAGGGGCTTGTTGTTTGACTGATAAGACTAAGCTTCCGGAGGACTTTTGGGGCGGGGACGCGTATTCTTGGTCATCACTGGAGAACCCATGGAGTTATGGTAGTAAGGGTGGGACGACGAGCAAGGAGGTGGACTACGGTGGAGGAGGCGGTGGAAGGATTAAGATGGAGATAGTGAGGTTCCTTGAGGTGAATAGTAGCTTGTTGGCTGATGGCGGTGATGGGGGTGCCAAGGGTGGAGGTGGGTCTGGAGGCAGCATCTTCATCAAGGCTTATAAGATGTAATTTCCTCGACTTCTGATATAATTTTACTGTAGAACAATTACTTAGTATAACTTAGTTGTTAGCACTGTAGCTCAATGTTCATTTGCACTTTTCCATGTTATATATTCTGCACGGTTAGTGAAAATTTTCCAAAGGCCATTTGTTGGTAGGAATCAGTGATTTTTATTATTATTTTTTTTTAAAGTTGTCTTTTGTCTCTTAATACCAAATATATATATATGGTACAAATCTGTGAATTCTTTCATAGTTGTATTAATATCTCAATGTTAATTGGGCAAATATATTTTTTTTGGTGTTACATGATGATAGTGCTGTTTTTTTGTATCTGATGTAGTAATAGATTGCATTTTTCAAGAACTCCAATGGAAATATTCAACCTCTTTGAGTAAACTCAAAATTTAATTGTTCAGAATGTTTTAAACAGCAGTACTGCTAAGTTGGATAATGAGGTCACCTGCAAGGTGTTGTGTTTTACTTTATCAAATGAATCTAGGTACTGCCACTTCACCACAAATCCCTAGGACCATTAACTAACAAAAAGAGAGTAAATAAGTAAAAAGAGAGGAAACATAGAGAATTGAAACAAGAGAAGTTCAAATTCTGACTTGTAATTCTAGTGCTAGTTTTTTTTTTTTTTTTGGAAGGTGGTTCCTGCAGCAGGCTTTGTTTATTGGTTCAGATTGCAGTCCCTATTTGTTCTAGGATTGGTTGGTTTTTATTTTTTCCCTCCTTTTTTTTATTTTTTCCTGATCTCTTTCATAGGAAACCCCCGGAAGTAGCTTCTTTCGTTCACTTGGAGATAGCCCTGTGAGGCGGTTCTTGCTTCTTGTAGGTTTGAAGGCTTATCGTTTAGGCATGATTCTTTCATGTGTGGCTTTGGGAGTCCATGCAATGAGAGTTGTGGTGATTGTACAAATAGCTCAAATAACGCTTTAATTTGTTAAAAGTATATTGAGGCCTTGGAATAAAAATGTCCGAAACATTAGTGATAGCGAGGCTGATTTTTTGAATGAGATTAAGATGTTGGGTTTGAATTTTAATAGACATTTTGGCTTCAGTGTGAGTCTGAGATTGTGGAGATTTTGATTAAATTATTGAGGAGTTTAGTTAGTGATAGAAGGCTAAAAAATAAATTAGATAATGCGACAAGTGTTATTGTTTGATAACTAAGTTGTATCTAGTGCGTTCATAAAGTTGCATGTTTTTGGTGGATAAAAATAATTTATTAAGAGGGTTAACTAGTGTGGAATCTGGATAGAGATTTTGTAGAGGTGGTTTTCCATAGGTGATTTTACCCCGTTTCTTTTAGCCAATTGCCTAACCTTACCTTTACAGTGTTACGAATCTATGGCATATTCCAGGAATTTATGTTTGGAAAAGCTTTTTTTAGTGAAGATTGAGGAGGGAATCAAGAGAGTTAATTTTAGGGAGAGTTAATTTTAGGTTAACTCCTAGTTGTGATGGTAATTTATCAGGTGGTCATGGTTCTAAAAGAGGGCTTGCTAAGAGTGTTTGTTTTTTTCCCTCCAAATAGCATTATCTACTCTAATTGGGCGACCTATAATGCTTTGGTTCCCAAGATTAGCAGGTCAATCAAGATGAAAGTCTTCAAATTTTGTTGCTAGCAAGATTATTACCAAATATCTTTCTAGACTGTTTCATTAAATATTTCAAAGCCTTGATGACACTTTTTTCTATTTTCAAGGACTTTCTATAGGAGAGTCAGATTCTTAATGTGTTTTGACACTTGGTGAGATGGTTGAGAAATCTTGAATTTAAAAAATGATGGTAGGAGTTTGTAGTTTAATTTGAAAAGGGAAAAGCTGTTATGAGGAGCTCTCACGTCAGGTATACTCTCAATGAAGAGGTGCACCTTGGACGGGCTGACCCAGCCCGGTCAGATTTTTCACGGGATAAGGCCATGATTTTTCAAATTAGGGATGGGTTTGGTTGCCCAAACTTAATTAGGGTTGGACTTGGATTGAGGTATCAACAACCCAAACCCAAACCCACACCCACACTCATACTCATACTCACACTCGAATTCTAATTTTATCTTTTACATAATATCATCATTTCTTTTTTAACTTCCTTTTATTTAAATATATCATCATTTTTTTTTAACTTCCTTTTACTTATTTATTATTTGATAAGTAGGATTCCTTTTATTTAAATTTTAATTTATTGTATGATGATTATTTGGAGTATTAATTCTCTAAGAATTGGTTTGTAATTTTTAGAAATTTACATTAGGTTTCTAGAATTTATTATGCTTAGGAGTAATCTAATCCGATACTAACTCGAGATCAACTTGATTTTTAGCTTGATTTCTCTAACTTGAGATCAATTTGAAAATAATATCTTGAATGTAATCTTCTCTCTATATATACACGTATTTATGGGTGGAATAATGCAAGGTCCTTTATTGGCAAACTGAATTGTTGTGGAAAATTGATCTAATTTGACTGGATTAGATACCAACCCGGCTAACCTCACTAACCCGACCATGATAGGGCGATCTAGCTTTTGCTAACCCGATGTTGGGTTCAGTCAGGGCTCGGCAGCTTTGCTCATAATGTGGGTCGGGCTCGACCCAACTGGTTCGAGTTGCACCCCTATCTCAATATAATGACTAAAGGTACAAGCTCACTGTGAGATGCCCTCAATATAGCACTACACTTTTGAAAAACATATGTCCATATAAGTAGGATCTTTCTAGATTTTGTGATCAAAGTAAAAAAATTTCGTGGCAAATGGAGAAGAAGGATGCCTCTTTAAATTCATCCATTTTTGTCTCATTAACAGGTTATATCATTTCCTTTTGCATTGGTAACAATTGTTTTATAGAGTTGCATCAAATATAGAAGACCAGCCCTTGTTAAAAGTTCAGAAGAATCTATTTATTTATTTATTTTGAATTTTTGATAAGTAAAAAGGTTGAAAAGAAATGTTGGATTCAACATCTAAAGGAATGTAACTTCAAAAGAGGAAGCTTTAGAACTCTAATAACTAAAACTACTCTATACAAATTAGGGACCGCATAAAACAACTCAGCATCATAATATGAGTTAGAATTGAACCTGTATATCACTTGTATAGCACATCTTGCAATTATGAAAATGATCAGACTACCATTGACTCCTAAAACCTAATATAATATAAATAAAATCATAAAAAACAGGAAAGCTTTAACGTCGTGGAAAGGGGGGAAGGAGGTCAAAAATCTCATCTCCCTTGTCAATTATGATGGGAAGGATGGGGTGGTGAGGGAGAGGGGGAGGTCCAGGATCGGAAAGAGGGGAGGAGGGGAGATGACTGTCTACGGTATTTAATGAAGTTACGAATTACCTCTTGGAACGTTCGAGGTCTCAACAACCCGAACAAAAGAAGGGTAGTGAAGGCAGCCTTGCGGAAGTGGAATGCCCATGTTTTATGCTTGCAAGAAACCAAGATGACTTCCATTTCTGACGGGATTGTTAGAAGCATATGAGGTGGAAGGTTCGTGAATTGGAAAGTGCTGAACTCTTCAGGTGCTTCTGGCGGCATACTTATTCTGTGGGATAGCAGGTGCTTATCTAGATTGGACATATGGAAGGGGAGTTATTCTATGTCTTGTGCATTCAATATGGAAGAAGACGATTTCAGATGGGTTTTTACTGGGGTTTATGTCCCAGTTATCGATACCGATAAATCATCCTTTTGGGAGGAGCTCTGCCATGTCAAGGGACTATGGTCTCTCCCTTGGTGCTTGGGAGGGGACTTCAATTCTGTTCGGTCTCCGTTCGAAAGATCTACGGGGGTTAGGTGGTCTTTGGAGATGACTCAGTTTTTAGACTTTATTGATAGCAATTTTCTTGCTGATTTGCCAATGGAAGGAGCATCATTTACTTGGTCTAGTGGCAAGGATTTGGTTTTTTATCTAGACTGGACAAGTTTCTGATCTCTGGGGAGTGGGAGGAGAAGTTCCCGGATGTTGTCTAGTCAGCCCTTGCAAGGGTGACCTCTGATCATATTCCCGTAGTCCTTGATTGTGGGGGCCTTAGATCTCGATGCACCCTTTTCCGCTTCGAGAATATGTGGTTGAGATCAGAGGATTTTCAAGGGAAAGTCAGGTCTTGGTGGGAGGAGGCGGTGATCACAGGTTCTTCCAGTTTTGTTTTAGCCAAGAAACTTCAGTCCCTCCAAAGCGATCTTAAAAGGTGGAATAAGGAGGTGTTTGGGAATTTGGTATGGAGGAAAAATAGAGCTTTGGCTGACTTTGCTGAAATTGATCGTCTTGAAGAGTTGGGACAGGATTTGGAGTCTTTGCGCTCCAGGAGAGTCTCCTGCCAGGCGGTTTTTGATGTGATTGCGAATTTGGAGGAAATTTCATGGCGTCAAAAATCTTGGGCCTTATGGCTCAAAGAAGGGGACCGGAACACGTAATTGTTTCACAGGCTTGCTAATGCTCATAGAAGAAGTAATCATATTGGGCGAATTCGTGTGAATGACTCGGAATTATGGAGAGAGGATGACGTGCGCAGGGGGATTGTCTCGTTTTATCAGAAGCTTTACATCGAGACGTTGAGGTGGAGACCTAGGCTTGAAGGCCTCCATTTTGACACCGTTTCTGACTTGGATAGAGATGGTCTTGAGATTCCTTTCTTCGAAGAGGAAGTGTTGAAGGCACTATCGAGTTGCAATGGTGATAAAGCTCCAGGGCCTGACAGATCCACTATGCGGTTTTTTATGGAGAGTTGGGAAGTGGTGAGAAATGCGGTGATGGGTACTTTCCAGGAATTCCATTCTCATGGCACTTTCGAAAAGTTACTTAATATCTCTTTTATTGCCCTCATCCCTAAGAAGGGCGGTGCTTCTAATATTAAGGACTTTCGGCCAATAAGCTTAGTGGGATGTATCTACGAGCTTATAGCTAAGGTTATTGTTTCCAGAATGAGAAATGTTATGGACGGAATCATTTTGGAGTCCCAGAATGCTTTTGTGGGAGGGCGAAAGA